CTGTTTTGACTTGAGAATGATGTCTAACAAAAGATAGCATGTGTCTGGCAGATTAGCCATTTTACTTTCACTTGTCAACGATGGATTCTACAGGGGGAAACACGATGTAAACAAGTTAAGAAGTTTTTACTGAGGAGAGATTGCTGTCAGGAAGGAACAGACATCGGTTGGATCACTGGGAGAAGAGCATGGCACGATGGAGGAGGGTGATGAATAATTAAAATGAGGGCTGAAGGTCTTTCATTTTCTGCTGGAAGGATGCATACAGATATAAAACTAATGTTATTCCGAAAAATGTATGCATTTTAACAACACATTTATTTAAAGAACTGTATATTTCGAATCTATTTTGATTCATCTTCAGCAGTATCTATACAAGATGTGTTAGTTAGATGTGATATATGTGTTGTTAAAATGCATAGATTTTTTGGAATAACATTAGTTTTATATTTGCTGAAACTATCAGCCGATAAAGGATGCATACAGCCCCCTCCGCCCACAAATATATGTCCCAATGCAACTGTCACAACTCGTGCTGCGTCCTACCCTGTGTCTCCACAGCAATGCCCTGGCAGTTTCGACTTTGGGCCTAACAGTGTATCAACACTAATAGGTACACGTATTAGCGTTAAACATGAATTATCGCTCGACTTGGCTTTTTATCGTGAATTGAATCATGGACAGCAATATTATTAATTGCACGGTTCTTTTCTAGTTCGCAGCTGACCGTAGGAATTCTTTGAGCGGTTTCTTTTTAAAAACTTTGTATATTAACCAGTCACCATGGTTAAACACACTACTGAAAACCCTATGCATGGTAGAGGGGACAGTGTTGGAAATTTTTAAAACGAAGTTAACGGGGTTCATGTTTCTCTCTCAGCTTCCAACCAGCCCCCCCTCCCCCCCAAACACCCTTCCTGTGTTAAATGTTATTCAAACACTCATTAATAATTCATAAGCTTATTGGCAAATCATGTCAACCATAATATGTCACGTGCAGTGGCTTTAAACCTGATAAAACACTCCTAATTAGTATTCTTAATATAAAGTATACTATTAAGGTAGTACCTATCGTAGTCGTGTCCTCATTAGTATTCTTTATATAGAGAATACTAATAAGGCTTATTGAATTTGTAGTCGTGTTTGAAGCCGTTTAATAAACTCGCAGGTCGTGTTTTATTAGGTCTAATAAAAAACTCCTGCTCGTTTATTAATAAACAGTACATAATGAACAGTCCTTGAGTTAAGAAGATTATGGAAGAGATCTACGAAGGATGATGCAAGAGACCATAAATAAAAGGAGTAAGAAGATTTATTGATCTTTTAGGACCTACAGCATAACATAATCTGGCCCTAACAAACAAACCTGCTCTATAGCAGACACTAAATCTTTCAACATGGTGTCCACAATAACGTAAAGAAGAGTTTCTTTTACATCTGCCTGGGTTATACGATTATTTTGTAGAAACATCTTGAACATTTCCACCAAGATTGCACGGAGAGACATTATAATCTAGAAAAAAAATTAAAGTATCAACGTGCTACAAAAATTACTCGGATACCTCGCACATATAGTATACTGGTGTCAGGTGAGGTGCCTCTCCTATTTACAATAATATAACAGGTGTAAATATGTATCCTAATTTGAAGCAGCCTTGGAAATAATAAGAGCATGTGTGTGCGTCTAAAAGTAAGTTTAACGTATTTGGCAAAAATTTTATGCATGTCCAAATAATTCTTGGCTATATTCGACAAAATATTAAGGTTCTATACGGTTGCGCGTGAATTAAAGAACGGGCTTCAGTGTTGGTAAATGAGTTAAAGGCTTTATTTACGATACCTCTTGTTTTTCGGGATGACGACATACTATGGCTGTATTAAACATATTTACAAGGATAATCTTGACAGGGTTAAAATCTACATTTGAATTGTCTAGAGAGAGGGAATTTTAATAAACATTTTTAGAGTGCATATAGCAATTATTGAAAGAGTGTATATATTACATTGAACGGTCTGTACCAGTGTAGATAATAGATAGCTTAAGATCTACGACGTCGACGCCAGCTAGGACGTCAGGGCTAAGCAGAGGACTGGTACGTCGTCCTGAATAAGTCGATAACTCAAGTATCTACGACGTCAAATATTTAGGGTCGCAAGCAGAAGTGAATTGGTAATAGTTTTTGAAGTATGCATGTGAATTTGCTCGTCGTTCACCAAACGTCGACAACCTCACAACAAGAGTTTTACCGTCGTAAATACGAGAGCATAACAAACGGTAATGGGTTCACACAGCTCTTTTAAATTCATTTTCAAAAGTATGTAAATATTTATAGTTTAAATGTCTAAGTCGTAAAACTTAATATATAAGTGGAAGTTTATTTATTTAGGACGACGTCCTAGTCCCAGTCCTATGCTTTATAGCTCTGACGTCCTAGCTGGCGTCGACGTCGTAGATCTTAAGCTATCTAATAATATACAAACAAGCTTTCGTTTGTAGGGATGCAACTACCTGAAAAAGACAAGGAGAATTTCGACGTTTCGAGCGAAGGCCCTTCGTCTGGAGTTACTAGTGGGGGGTCGAAGGGCCTTCGCTCGAAACGTCGAAATTCTGCTTATATTTTCGAGGTAGTTGCGTCCGTACCAACGAAAGCTTGTTTGTATATATTACAGTGGAATAAAACATTTGTAATGCAAGATTTTTAACTTACCATCAGAATAACTGATGCCTTGAGAAATTTGGTACATTAACCTCCCAATCTCGGGCAACAAAACGATGGTTTTCTCTACAAAACAAACGATTTAAATAAGACAACGAAGTTAAGGCAAGACACCGTTCTCCAAGGAAGGTTATATTCGTCGACACCTGGGGTCGGTTGTTCAAAAGCCGGTTAGCAAGACCCTAGGTTAACCTAAAATTCAAAGCAAACTTCCCAAAAGTGGCGGGATCAAATCTGAACCACGCATGCAAATAATTTTGACAGTAGTGTAGTATTCTTGCATGTTTTATATAGTGTAAAGGCCTGTAAAATCAGTATTACGTTGTCCAGTTTGTAGTCTGTAATATGTCGTGTTTTAGTGTTAGATGGATGGACTTAGAATGGGATTCTAGTTCTGTTGTTCAATCCTTCAATCACAGCTGTATGTGATTTTTTTAGATATGATTGTAAAAAAAAAGCTTGTTTATAAATTTCTGTGGATCAATAGGAGTTTTCTTTTCTGAAGTTTGGTAATCAACAAACGTGCAGAGATTTAGCGCTAGTCTCTCTGTTTGTGGCGTGCTTAAGCAGTGTTTGTGAATGTGACCTGGCATCTCCATGCGAGCTTTGATTTTTGAAATATGTCGTGTTTTTGATCATTTCGCCTCGTTTGCATGGGAGAAGAGCGCTGCCGGCGTTTCTGCTCCTACTCTATAGTTTCCTTCTGTACTAAAACTGTATCTCTAAGATGTCTTCACTGCGGGACCTAGTGTGCGGCCAGCCAATTGACTTTGAGAGGGAGGATGGCAGATTTTAGAACAATATACTTACAGAAGGAAAAAGAGGAATGGAAAAAGTATCATGCATACGCTTCGCTCAGAGGGTTCACAAATTACTTAAAATATCGCTGATTATAGCATGCAATAACTAAAACGACCACAAATGAGTGGGCTTCATATAATAGAGCAATCTGTCTCCTACAACTAACTGGCACTAATTCTTAATTTCAAACATCAAAAACATACCAAACTTTAGTACAGATGACGTAAATGTTGCCAATGACATGTTCAGTTCATCTCTGTTAACTCCAATCACCACGAGTTCAGCAAATAACATCAACAAGTTCTAGGAAAAACAAACATGTGCATGCAATCGAATGCTATAATAAAAAAACTGAGCGGGGGTCCAGCTTCATCCCATATACAGGGGGAGGGTGCTGAGTAAGTACTGGACACAACCGGCGACCATGGCAAGGTTAACCTCTCTTCCTTCAACAATTATTAGTTATATCAAGTGAGACAGTTGGTGGGGCACAGTAACAGACCTTATGCATAATGACGTCACAAGGCTTGATGCCCGCGAGGAGTGCTGGTCTTGGTAGTCATCGCCCGGGAAAATTTCGATAGTGGCCATTTTGAATTGTTTAATTTTCCCTGGCGATGACTACTAAGACCAGCACTCCTCGCGGGCATCAAAAGCCTTGTGACGTCATTATGTATAAGGTCTATTGGGTAACCTGTTATACCTACCAATTTTAGTGGTTAAATAAAGCGATTTAAAGATTAAAGAGATGCCCCTTACATTATCTCATATACCGTACATTGACATCACCTTAGATTTAGACATGTGGACACCGATCAGATAAACCTGGGTCCTGGGTTCGTTTTAATTTTAAAACACTTGTACTCACAAGAATCTAGCTATTTACACTTCGTATAGCCGGCCACACTCCTTCAATTTAGTTACATATTTAAATTATGGCAATCGTCACGCATGTCGCATTTACAAGACATGTACTTGTGGTTCGAGCTGTATAAAAAATCCCCAAGAAAATCTCCATCTACATATCCCATCAACCCCTTCAACAATTAAGCTGGTACCCAGAGCCATACACGCTAGCTCAGGATACGGCAAGGGGGTTATGGTAATGTTCTGGGGAAACAGTCTGGGTAAGTTCCAAGAGCCAAACTCGTGGTAGAGATGGAAAATACTGACGCTTGTGGGAAAAAAGAAAAATATGATTATCAAAACGAAAGTTACCCAGATGATCAAAGCGAACTCAAAAAATAAAATTCCATGCCATTTCATTTGATGATGCTCAGGAATTGGATTCAATATGGAAATCGAGCGACCCTGATATCCCCTCTTGCGTAGTCCTCCCCTCCCCGATAACTAATCCATTCCTGAAGATGCTTTGTTTTTCCCAAAAGGCCCCTAGTTCCTACCTTCAAAATGGAGATAATGAACTCTGCTGGTTGCGATTCATTATAAAAACTTCTTCGTCTGGGTGCTTGCTCATTCTCACTGAAGAAAATAAGAAATTTCAGCCATTGAGAAACCCCAACAACGAGAGAGGAACTAAATATAGAGTAGCGATTACTAGATTTAAAATAATCGCTCCAGTGTAGAAATAACTTAATTGAACTCGTAACAAAGTAGTAAGATAATTGAATCACGCAATGTGTGGATATGATACAGGGTTCTGCCCAGGACCAAGAGAATACCTGCCGAAAAACATGCTTCCCTGAAAGCTTTCAAATTTTAATGGTCTTAAGATAATTCATACTCATGAGTATGGCTTTTTACTAAATTACTGGTAGTCAATACTGTATGTTAACAACTACCTGTAAAATACAAGTGAGTAGTAGTTACCTGCCTTGTACTCCTTGCCGGTCCTTTCCCTGCCGGCTCCTTGCATTTTTCAGGTAGTTGCGTCGCTATTAATCTCTATTCCTATCAATCCGCAGCTTTCTTATTATTAGCCATTCCGAAGTTGATGAGTGGACTGGGGACGAGTGTTAAAAAGTGCCCAAATTGAGAAATGAACCAAATCACCAAAACGACCACCTCAAAATTAGCAAGTATACAAAGTTTGAAGACGTTTACAGGAATCACCCTTCGAATAATCTTTCGAAAATCGGGATATTTACTATGAAATGTACTGTGATTTTTGTTTTGGGGACACGCGTCCTCAAAATAATCTTTTAATCAGTAATTTCACAATATTCATGTAAACGTTTTCAAACTTTGTATACTTACTAATTTTGAGGTGGTCTTTTTAGTGATTTGGTTCATTTCTTAATTTCGGCACTTTTTAACACTCGTCCCCAGTCCACTCATCAACTTCGGAATGGCTAATTGGCACTCCTACACTGACCGTTCAAGATTATGTTTCACCAAATAATCACAGTATTGTTTGCATCAACAAAATCCACTATATAGATGTTACTTTATCACATATACTTCTAAATTCTAGGGGGAAGATTCAGTTTTGCCGCGAATGCTGGGCGGCACCATAACTACTACTTAATATGAACATGTTTTGTTCTCTAGAAAGATGTCTCGAATCTTATATCAAATGATTTGATATATCAAATGAACATGTTTTGAATCTTATGTGGGGTAGGGGGCAACCCAGTGAGAGTGCAGTGCAGTCCGGTGCCGCCCACCACAGCCAGAATCATTTGATAAGTAAATTTCTTTCTTCTTATCTTTCCGTTAATACAACAAGCGCGTTATTAATGTAATAGGTTAATTCCCTGTGCAAAAACCAAACAATAAATATTCTATACACCCACCCAGTTTCATCAAGGTGTCGTAGTAACACACCATCACACCAGTTGAGAATTTTCTTGTATGAAGATACAAGTTCGTCATCACAACTCCTTTCTTCTTCACTAGTATCACGACCTTCCTGATAAGATACAATTTATACCTTTCAATGTTGCAATGGTTTCATGGAAAAGAGTTGTTTCCAAGTTTTGGAACCAACGTTGTGATTGAACAACTTCATGTTTCACATCAGAATAAAGCGTTTGTGGCGTAACTTTGCGTTTTGCAACGCTCATTTTCTCTTCCGTGTTGAGTCAAGACAATAACAAACCTGTAATAAAATTACATGCCTAATATTTTGCCGTTTGACAAAATACTATTAATTATACAATTATATACTATTAATTATACAATTATATACTATTAATTATACAATTATATACTATTAATTATACAATTATATACATTTTAATTATATACAAAATTACAGTTAGAAAACGCATAGTTACAGCCCATGTCATTATTTTGTAACGTGAAACGTAAAGTTGTTCATTCATAACTTCGGTTGCAAAACTCGGAAACAACTTTTTATCGCAACCGTGTGGATTTAAATGGTAATGAAATTCAAATGGTAATGAAATTCAAATGGTA